TCACATTTCAGAATTCGTTAATCCATCCAGTATTTCTCAATGAAGAGCTAGTTGTGAAAAAACATTTCTTAACAGAAACCAGTAACAACTCCTAGATAGGCTGGATAGTGTTGATCCTTAATATTACTAAGCAAAGAAGGTAAAAACTGATGTTCATTATGCTTGACAAAAAATTTACATAGGATGCATATATATATATACATGCAGTAAAATAATATTTTACTATATAACATTGTAGATTCACATTGTGTATTTAAGTATTATTACTTTACTATTTACTATAATATGTATCATATAATAGATGCCAAGAACAGCCTGGCAAACACAAGTAAAGTAATGTACCGTTTTAAATACAGGTTTGTTTAAAGCATATTGTGTATTTTGAGCTGTGGTTTTCACAATATAGTACTGTTGGAAGGATATTCAGCTGCAGGAGCTATACACAGAACTGGCAGGCCAATAGAATACAGACAGGTAAAAAGACAGACTTGTTAAGTGAAAGTATATTTGAAGAGCAAAAGGCTTTGGATAAAGTCTACAAAAACTTAATTGGCGTTGGAGCACTACAGTAGTGATGGGAAGTTATCAGAATATTTGACACCAGGAAGCATGAAGAGAATTCATCACACTGTAACAGACACCTGAACCAGCCTGGTTGTATCTGGAAGAGATTCAGATCCCATTCTCATGACACAGAGATAGTCACTGTTGGTCTTCTACCTCCTGCCTCAATTATTGACATATCAAGGATTGAACTATCTAAAAACTCAAATACCACATGGCAATCTGCAAAAACTACAGATGAGAGATTCATAAAAGCATTCTACCATCATTAAATAATATTTTAAGTATCTTAAAACTATTAGAAGCAATGAAAAAGATACTTGATTACAAATAGCCCCAATTGTCCTTTTAGTTTTGGTAAGAGAACAATAACAAACTGTACAGTTTGGGTAGAAATGAAAGGTCGAATTTTTTTTTAAAAATAGAATTCATGCCATCAGCACATACGGCTTCATTTAATGACATTCTGCCATAATGATTCTGTATAATTACTGGCCTACATAATGCTGTTCTCCTGGGATGGTATGAGAAATCTGCACAATCATCAGGAAGGACTTTGGGAATGGGGGTGGAGAAGAAAAATAAAACCCAGCCAGAAGCTCTGCTGTAAAAGTTAATCACTATAATTTACATTTTGCCACCAGTTCTCAGGTACAAGTTCTTTTATGCACCATCAAATGATCCGAACACTAATTATCGCTCTTGTCTTTTACAGACACAAACACTCTAATTTGTAGTTACTTTCTTTTCTTTTGTCACAGAGTTCTTTTTAGGGCCAAATTCCTTTTCTTCTTGCTCAGAAACCCGACTCTAAAGACATTATAGACATTCTGGCATCCACAGGCAAAAGGGAAAAAAGTGAGAAGCAACAAAGGACAGCAATTTCAAAACTGATAGAGAAGCACACCAATTAAGCTGTTCGTTTCTCATTAAAAGCAGCCTGTTCAGAATCTTTCTTTAGACTCCCTTCCTTCACCTCCCAAAGCTGGCAGCTGTGGCTACCTTTTGGAAGTGCCAGTTTAAACAGCCTCCAGCTCTAAGCTGTTGTGCCTCTACAGAGTGAGCTATGGGAGAGTTTGGAGCAAACAGCTGGACCTAGGGTTTTCTCAGGTCAGCATTGCTCTTCAGTGTGCAACGGCCAACTGAGGATGCCATGGGAGACAAAATGAAAGCTTTTCAGCCCGGATTATGCCTTCTCTGTATTGGGAGGCATCAAACACATGCTCTAGTCTTCACAAACAAGAAATAACAAAGAAGGAACCTGAGTCAGTCTGCTGATGTGGGTGCAAGGACTGCAGTATTTCTCAAGTATCATTCTCCATGTGTTCTCCAAACAGCTACTATTCCTTTTCACAAAGAGCTGCATTACTAACATCTGATTTTTAAGGGAAACTTGGAAAAAAGAAACCCTAACTGTTTTCTCCAGCATAATGCCTAGGGAACCTTTATCTGGAAATTTCAGTAATGGCCCCAAAAACACATGGAGAGAATCATTTCAATAGCATCAGAGAAACATCACACAAATTAATCCAAACCAACCAGAGAAAATACTATGTTTGGAGACACAATGTTATAATAAATAATGGGTAACAACCTAGACTTAAGTCTGCAATCAAGTTGCAGAGTATGTCCATGGTAGATAAAGATGAGAGCTGTCAGGGTGTGCCTGCCCTGCTAAGATGATTCTTTCTGTGAAATTTTCTTGGCTTTTCTAGTGAACCAACTCTATTTGATGCTTAAGGAGGAAACCAGAACCTCAGATGTACGAACATGCTGTTCCCATTAGGCACACCTTTACAATAAAGCTTCTGAGAGTTACATCAATTTTTCAGGATTCTTTAAGTTGCTTCTGAAAAAATCCTTCCAAATCAAAATGCTACAACTTTATTACAATCTGCATTTTATATAAGAATCTCACATTTAATGCTACTAGTAGTTACTGTCAGACAAGTACTGCAGGGCATGTGGTACATTCTACTGAATGCTAAAAAATGCACACAAACATGCTTATACTAAAATAAAAGGTGTAAAACTGTAGGGTAGCTACCATATAGATGATTACCTTCAAGAAAGGCAACATGCCCTAAATCTAAGTAAATCCCTCTGCATAGTGTTTTCTACAGACTTGCTCAAATCCTTCATGCATGCACTAGAAACACCAGTCTGAATGACCTGGGTGGGATTTATAACAACTCAGTATCAGCTTTGGTGCCACAAATGGCCAATGAAGACAGGCAAAAAACAGAGCGGGGCCACCATTTAGTCAGAATTGCCATGACAAAGTATATGGAGAACATTATAGTCTCCCTGATAACCCCCTATTTGCAACTACTGTATGAGGAATTACTGAACTGTCTGATAAACCAGATCTAGTCTTGCACAAACATAGCTTTGCTCAAAACACTTGGCAACAATTGCTTCAGACTCCCAGTCTGTAGGTATTTTAGCTATGCACTCAAAACAGAGGTGCCTTAAGAATAAAAATACAACAGTCAAGCTCCACAAGGGCAACAAATTATGATGATCACACATCTTCCAAGAAAGAGCTGTTTTTTTCTATTTGCTAGTATGACACAGTAGGAGTATTTTTCAAAAAGCACACTTAATACTTCTTGGAAAATTGGTTAGGAAAATGGTCTAAAATACCTTCTGCTTCTAGAAGCGCTGATTAACTTGTAAAGTGGTATCTGCCATCTGAGGTGTTCCAGCACATTACACACATACTTTGATATTGCCAATTTTACAAGTGGCAAAATTGAGAGAGGGAGGGAAGGTGACTGTAATGTGTCACACCCACAAACTTGCAGCAGAATGAGATTAAAATCTACATGCTAGCACTCCCAAGCAACATGCTCTCAGTACTGATCACAGTGACTGCAAGCAGATTTCTAAACAAAATGACTGAGAGGAAAAAATGCAAAATATCTGAAATGGGTACTTGCAAGACTAAAAAAGAACCCCATATGAAACTGTTAATTAATAAAATGGACTAATCTCCTTTTTGATCCACATATGAACTGCAGTTGTGCAAGATATTCCATATGAACACATCAGACTTGTCTGTCTTAGGGTAGTTTAGTAGCAACAGTTTAGTATGGAATATGCTCTCAAAGACTTTTAGTATTATAAGCAGTAGCAGATGCTAAGACTAAAGGTGATCCTAATTTTCAAGCATTCTGCACAGTGAGATCTTTCAAAACACTGGTTAACATATGTAGAAACCTCCCTCTTCAACATTCACTTCTCACTTTTGATAGCCTAGAGAGTGAGAATGGGAAAATGAATGTGGAAAGGTCAATCACACAAGAGGCGAAAATTACCTTGTATGTGAGACAGCATCACTAAGACTGTAAGCACTGTTCTCCCTTGTTAGAGGATTGGAGGCTGGTTGACTCTTGCTGTGAATATCCAGGCTCAGTGAAGATTCAGTTTTTCGATCCATGTGGCTATCCTTTTCTAATGTCCTGTCTCCAATGGAGACCACTTCGCTGGAGCTGTGCCACAGTGGTGCCACTTTCTCCTTTGTTAGCCCTGTACGGGGAGACGTCGCTGCTCCCAGGGAGGCAGTGCTGCCATGGCTAGGTCCATAGGAAGTGGTATCTATGCCACTATCAGCTGAAGTCCCTTGAAGGTAGTTGTAGCTGTTCAACTCTGATTCGGTGCGCTCTCCACTGTCATACCATTTCTCATCACTGTGAGCACTGGAAGCATTGCTGGAGAGAGTATTGCTGCTGGAATGGCTGGAGTAGTGGCTGTCAGACTATAGAAGAAACAACAATCCAAAAACCCAACACTTGTAGGTTTATTCAGAATTATGGCAATGGAGAGGAAGAAATAAATGGTTACAAAAGTCACCACTGCACAATAGGAGCTCTTCTGCCATGAGGTATTGGATAGATACATTGAGGAGACTAATAAACTCTAACTATTTAATTTCAGCATAATGCATGTGCTCTGTTCTGGGTGCACATAAAAACCCTTTTCATATGGATTTGGAAGCCATAGCTTAACTATCCAGGGAAAGTGAAGGTTGTTTGTATTTTGTCCCAAAATACTTTACACTGGTTTCTTTGAGGCTCAACCCAGTCCAACGAAAATGGCTGAGCTATGTAGACTGACTTGGTTTATAACTATGGTAATTAAAAATATTCTAATTTTAAGACTGCAGCATTTTGGAACATGAAACATAATCAATCCACAGAAAGTGCACATTATTTTAATAATCTAATTGCCTATCAAAAGGTCACAGTAGGGCAAAATAACCACTGCTCTTCCTCCCCTTTGCAGTAGAGTATATTTCCTCCTCAGCCGGAGTGACTTTTGCAAATGACCACTGAAACACCGTTTAACTAATCTGAAACTGTTTTCCAGTAGGTGGAATTGCATGAAAAGAAGCTCTCAAATTATCCCATCAGGGCATGCCAGTGCCTGGCTGGTTTGTGTGTCCTGCCCTTGGTTACAGCTCACTATTACAAAGTAACCGAATGACTTCAATTTCATAGGGGGCATCAGTTTCCCATTTCAGGAAGAATTTCTTGCCATATGCTTATCCATTGCTCAGTATCTCACCCATCTCTGGGGTATTCATGGATGGATGGAAAGGAGACTTAAAACTTTCCTATGTGTCTACCCCTGGAGTTTTACTGAACAGACATAAGCAGAGGTCCCATTCAAGAAATCATCAGCATCCATGTGTCTTATTATACTAAAGCAAGAATTGCCAGAAAACCAGGAGGAATATGAAGTTGATCCAGGCTCCTAGTTATCTCCAATTAAAGTTACTGCTCTTCATTAGGAATGGCATAACTCCCCTATCCATCTGACCACATAAGGATTTACTTCAACAATGACTAAATTAGAAGAATGCAAGCATTAATAATTCCAGTGCTGCATTTTGCTCTCAAGCTAATGAGTTATATATTACATCATTATATGGTCAAATACATCTCATGAAAACAGGTCAATCTAAATTTAAAAACTAGCCTAGGCTTCCAAGAATATGAAGACAGGTGTGGTGTTGTTCACGGGTTTTTTTGTGCGTGTTTTTTAATAATAAATGTGTTGTTATGAATTAAGAACCTAAGAGCAACACCACCAATTGCACTGAAAGAATAATGATGGTAAGCCAGAGAAAATTAAAGACCAGAAACCAATTAAAGACTTTCTCACACCTAAAGAAATTCAACTAATACTTTCAGCATCATCATGCAATACAACTCTGTGTTTTAGCTGGTTGTACAAATAAATAAAACCCCCAAGTGATACAGCTTATTGGGTAATTTAAAGCTCCAAGGGCGTTTTTCTAATTCCAGTGACTTTAATAATTTTCAAGACACTTTAAATTTATGAACATTACTGTATTTATCTATCTCTCTGTATGTAAATCAGGAAGTGACAGTCTCCACAACGGCAGGGATATCTAACTCTGCAGAGACAGAAAGACAGAATTTATCATTTTGACCTTAAACATAGATAAAACAAGAAAGATTTTTTTTTTTAGGAGGATTCCAGCAGACCTTTCAGACAGACTTCCAACAGCAGTGTGCAAGGCAGGCTATGGAAAGGAAGTAATAGTTACACTACATAATGAAAATGAAGAAAATACAAAACCAAAAGTAGGATCACTATTCTGTTTCAAAGCAGCTTTCTGGGCATTTCATCGTAAGATATATTAGCGAAGCTGAAGTCTTACATGTGAGTCCTAGGAATAGCTTTGTAAATTTCCACAAATCCTTTACTTATCACAAGGTAACTGACAAGAAGCTGCTCTTCAACTCATAGCAAAACTACTAACTAATAAATACTTCAACAGGCTGTGCTGTAGGATTTAGGAAACAACAGGCCTGCTTTACTGCTTCCTCCATGTTCTAGTAGAGAAAGGGCTTGAGGATTTTTTCTTTCTTTTTCTTAGCTGACACACTAAATATAACTTTGAACAACACTTTTGGTATCAAGAGCTTGTGGAGCAAAACCAAAACATTTAACAACTCCTTGTTTAGGATAACTTACATGACCCTGCTTATTTGGAGACAAGTGTACCACAGGATCCTGTCTCATCAGTCTTCCACTGGGGCTCTCTCTGAAGGATGGCAGTACTTTTGACACTGCTGGGAGATGGCATGTTGGTTCTGCAATACAGCACACAGTGATGCACTGAGGAGTGTATGCAGTGCAACAAGCTAAGAAAATGTGTAACCTCATTTAAACTGCAATTTTTCCAACATGACCGTTAACCAAAAACTAATACTTATTGTGACAAAACACAGGTGAGTAAGTGAGGGCACATTCCTGCCTGGCGCAAACCGTTAAGGCTTCACGAAAAAAGAGCACCCACCATCCTGACTTTTGTTGGAATAACCCAAATGGTATCATGTTCCCATTGTCAAACAGCAGTGTATCAGAGCATTAAAACAGCAGAATATTAATTTTCACAGTGTATTGACTCTGTATCTCTCTATGCACATTGCCTGCTGACAAGAAATTAAAAAGACTGAAGACCCACATTTCCTTAAACTGCATTCTACGCAAGGCAGGACAATAGCAAAATTCTACAGTGATCACTTAATTGAACACATTTTCTCCAGTACAGCTACTACACAAATTTCATATCAAAGATAAGGTGAGTTAAAATAAACATTTCCTCACTGAAGTGGTAGCACAAAAAATCTGCTGAAATAATATTCTCTTAAACACTGCTGGCTGTGAATGTGGAAACTGCATAGATGTACAAAAGGAATAGTTATTAAACCAAACTGACAGAAGTGAATGGAATTCTAATCACTCATCTCACACACACACTCACAGGACTGCACTTTGCCAGTTAAACACACTGGTTTCCCAGGAGATAACTATAGAGGTCTAGATGGTGTTCAGACACAGCCTCTTAGGTAGGTAATTGCCTTCTCAGACCTCGAGGTCAGTATTTTAAAAGAATCTTTCTCAGTTGTGGGTTTTTAAATGTATCTTCTCTCCTGTGGTTATGCAATATTCTGTGCTTCTAAAAGTGAACCTTTTTGCTTACAAACATCAAGCACTTAACAATACCCATGGTAAATAGCAGTGCTTTCCCCAACACAGCTACAAATTTGTTCATCTTGATCTGCAGTATTGCTAGGTTTTAAAAAAAAACAAATAAAAGTTGTGGGTTTTAAGCAATAATAACAATGGTAATAGCAATATTGTCATCAAACTTGACTTCCCCTGGCAAGTGGTAGCAAGCAGTGTTGGTGAACAAAGATCAAAGGTGTCCTGCAGCTAAGGATGGGCCAGGAAGGAGTGAGTGTGTGGATTTACTACACCTAATTCCTTATTTACCTTGAGACAGATTATCCCAAGTGGAAATGTGCTTATTTGTCATAGAACCAAAGTTTCACCTAGATTCACCAGAGGGGCAATAAAGACTCCAGTCAGAGATGCAGCTTCCAACTGCGACTCTATGAATGCATGACAATACACAAGAGATAAAACACAGGGATTATACGACAGGATGCATTTCTCAGCCTTTGCCAAATGTTGGAGCCATCTCTTCTACCACACAATTTCTCGTGTTCTTTTTGGCCTTATTTATTTTGCTAATATATTGACACCCAACATTATAGAACAGATCTTGCTAGCAGCTCTACTCAGTGCCAGCACCAACACACAACTGTTGGTCTGCAAAAGTAATGCTGAGCAAAAGATCAGTTTTACATGTGTCATTACCACCACAGAGTATCAAAACATATGTGATTAAAAATTGTTCTGTCTAAATGAGAACTGCAAATCAGTATAATCAGAGCTTTTTAGTGAGAAGTATGGGGGGAGCTGTAAGGGAGGGACTGACAGATGGCTTCAATGCCAAGGCACAGCTTACTGAGGTTGTGAAGGTATGTGAACAAAGTACATCTTCAGCAGTTGAGGCTGGCATATGCCTGATTCCAGTGAACCTTATTCTGCCTCGAACACTAGTCAATTCGTATAGTGATGCCATAAAATGATGATCTATATGTGCAATAGAATGTATGGAATTGTTTCATCTATAGTAAAAAAAGTTAGAAAAAAAATCCCAATCTAGCAACCTTGGCCATGGTCATCATGTTGATGTTGTTTATAGATAGGATATTTCCATTGGTGTCAATCTCACTGGCATCCATTCTAGTCAAGGCATAGCTGCAGTTATGTGCAAAAACTTCAAATGGAGGCTTAACAATACAAATTCTCAGTACCTAGCTGTTTTATGTAGTTAATATGTTCCCTCAGCCGACAGCTTAATTGCCGTGTGCAATGAAAATGTGTATATTGGTGGAAGGTGATTACCTAGCTATAGATTTTCTTCACTATTTAAACTTTAATTGCATTTTTTCCATTTTGCACATGGTATTTTTATAGCTTCAATGATCAAACAATTGATTTGCATTTATATAGCACTGTTTGAAAAGGAGCATCACAAACCCTTTAGACAAACTAAGCAAAAATTAAACGAAGCCAAGCCACTTGGGAGAGTAGGTAAGGTCAAACAAGTCCTCAACATCAAGACAACTTAATAAGTGTGTCTACCCAACTGCTTCTAAAAGGACAGAGTGTTTCAGGGTAAGAGCATTAAGGCAGATTTAGTCCCACAATCAAATGAAGAAATGAAATCAGTTCTTCCTCAGGTGATATTCATAGCTCTTAAGGAAGCAGACTGCAGAAGCTCCTGTACATGGTCCAGACCTAATTATTCATCCTGATGAACAAGGTTAACTTTCAAAGACACTGAAAACACAGTGCTTAAGGGAGTTCTTTTTCTGCATAGAGAGGTATTGCCAAAGTCACCTTGCAGTTAGCACCACTTGTTCATTGGAAAGAATTCATTACCTACCCATCTGGTCAGTGATACTATCCTCACTTCTTTGCCAGCTGGGAGTGGATTTGCCGCTACCGCCCGTATCTGACTGCGTGTTCTGCCTGTCAATTGAAGCAGGGGATCTACGGCTAATTCCAAACCTGTTCTCAAAAAAAAAACCAAAGCACAGAATGATTTTAAATATGCATTAAACTCACATGGGGGGGGGAAGCACTTTCAAGAAGGTAGTGTCAAACAACAAGGCAGACCAATGCATAGCACAGCTCCTTGAGGGAGTTCAGCTCTCATGACCATTTAGCAACTTTAATGTGTACGATTACAATATACATTAATTTATTGAGCACCTTTGATCAAGAACAGCTGGTTACAGTGATACAATTGGGGAAAAATAATACCAGACCAAAATATCAAGAAATAAAATTATTAGTTTTCATTTACATAGATGTTTGCATGAAAAGGTGACCACACTGTTACATGGTTACAGAAACTCACCGCAATGTGTAAAACATAAAAGTTTGGATAAAAGCCACACAGGGAAATAAGGTGTGTTTATTGGGAAAAGATAGCCAGGATGGGTCCATTTAACTGGGTAAGCACTACCTCAAACTAGTCAAAGAAAGCATCAGAAAGTTTATGGGGCCAATCCCATGGACCTCAGCCACTTCCCTGGCTTCAAACCAAAAGAGTCGTAAGGTCATACTGTAGATGATGCAGACATATATGCAAACAACATAGATTTGTTTGGGACAGTATTACACTGCCAATATTTTAAATAAGCATCTCTAAAGTTGGCTGTATTGGGGGTTATAAATTCTGTAAGTTATTAAGTTATTTGATCATAAAATAATTTGAGTGGACTACTGTAAACTAAATAGAACTGTAGGAAAGCAGTGAGACATGCACATCTATTGCTGTAGAAGAAAGTATACAGAGCAAAAGGAAAATTGTGTTCAATGGATGCCACAAATCCTGCCAGATTAGCCAGAGAGATTTCAGAATGCTCAAAAAAAGATAAATTCAAGGAGAACAAACTAATGACAAAGGAGACACAGAGTGTCTCTGTGCCATATTGAAGTCTACATGCCTTATAGTCTAAAAACCTGAAAGACCTAAGTCTACAATTATTTATTACCTATAAATCACTTTTAAGTCTATAAGATTTACAGTTGAGTTCAGAAATAGCAGATCAATCATTAAGAATTCATCAAGAATAATGCATTTCTTAGTTGTTTTTTTTAACTCAGACATACCCTGAAGGAAAAAAAAATCCTCAAACTCTACATGCACATAATAACACAAAAAAGAATTACAAGTTGATATATCATCTATATATCAATGAGTTTCTCTAGTTTTAATGTCCAAAATAACAACAGAACATAAAATACCCTAACTGTGCTTTCTACTCACTCTACTAGCAACAGACTGTCCCACAAGACCTCCAATGTAAAACAGTGACCTGCCCAAGCTCAGTGTGGTTATCCCACTTACAGCTCATGCACCTGTCAATTCAAATACATCCACCAAGAAAGCATCATATGACTCAGAACAAGAAAAACCCACTCCCACCATTAAAGACAAGCATCTGGAACATGCCTGTAACATGCAGCACAGCTCCAAAATATCATATATTGAAATTTGGGCCTTCTAAAATTTACCTGCACATGACCCTACTTCCCCTTCCTGATACAGCCAACATACAATTAAATGAATTTAAAAAAAAAGTGATGAAAGCCACTATGTATCTGCTTTCTGAATACAAATGATTCACAGTGAAATTGTGCGGAGTAACACTTTTCCTCTTCTATTCACACAGACTAGGTAGGATTTCACGTAACCAAATACCTAAATTAAATGCGATGAATTCAATACCAATTCAACAGATGAATAAAAAGTCTGAGCACAGCATTTCAAAGGTGATTGATTCCTTAAACACTGATACGAGGTGATTTTCAAACTTTCAAGATTTTTAAACTATTATGGGAAGAACATACATTCATTATAAAGTAACTAGAAGTTTGAATCTTAAAGAAAAAGCCAAACCCCCAAGAACACTTGGTGCAATGAAGCTGTGTTGTCCTCTTACCAAACCCCCATAATGGACATAAGTATAAAAGCACTCAATCTTGCATCTGGCATATTTTATGATGTGAGATCATCTTCCCAAGGTTAGAAATATACAACCCCTCCATGTTTCTAATTTTATTTTATTAAAATCACTGCTCCACTAATTGAGTAGCAAGAAATGTCTTTAGATTGCTTTTTTTCACATGAAGTGGGCTATTTAAAAACAGGAATAATAAATGCAGGTGGTGCTATATTCTATGCTGCTTAAATATACAGCCCATTAGGGTATGAAGGAATGAACCCCAAAAAATTGAAGGAGAAATCAATTTGGATTAAAAGAACAGTGAAATTGCTTAAATATAAATTTTATCTATGTCCTAAGAAGACATTTACTATTTAGGTATTTTTTAATTTAATTTTCACATTCTACAATCATTTATTACATATACATACATCCAGGTAAACACAGGATAAGTATAGGAAACACACATATATACATCAAGACCAATCTGGATATTCTTGAAGACAGTGAAGGTTTTGCCTATACTGAGCTTAGGATACAGACCAATAATCTAGTATAGGCAGCATTTACTGCCTGTACCAATGTCTGACAGAAGCTGGACTCACACCCATGCTTCTGGTCATTTAAATTTCACAAACTTTCCAAATCTGTCATATTATGCAACAAGAAATAAATGTATACACAAATTATGTACTTGGGTTTTCCTGCACCGAGCAATCTCAGGGACTGGCAGACCTAGAGCACACTGAAACTTCACCTCTGGAACATTACCTTCAGGACACAGTTCCCCCCAGCCCTTACGCCAGCCCATCCTTCTCTCCAACACCTTAGCAATTGAATGCTACAATCTCTCTCCTATTTTCATAACATACACAGGCTAATGCTGACCAGCTCTACCTGGTTCACCAATATTCCTACAGAGCTGCCCTGAATCTGGAAGAATCTCAACAGAAGATGTATGTGGAACTGCAATGATTTTTAGTAATGTGACAGACATTACTTTGCTTATTGAGGCAAGGAAAAGTTTCCTTCATAATCACATTTTTCATGCTTTCTATTGAGCCTGGTAGAAAATGTTTGGAAAGTATTGAGTAAATATGATTCACATGTACAAGGACAGTGTGAAAGGCAAACTGCTTTTCCTACAGGTATAGAATATAATAGTCAAATAATAGGAATTTAATAAGTGATTTCTTTTTAAAGAGCATCCAATAAGGAACATACAAAGTTCATGTATTAATTACTTCTTGCATTATTCTATTTAGACAGTGCACTGAATTAAAACTTCAAAACCAAAAAGACTATACTCAAGGTTTCTAGGACACCTCTCTGCTGAACTTGCAAAATGCCTGAAGAATGCTGTGGTGAACATATGTATAGAATTAACTAAAAAGATGGAAAATGGTTTGGATGGGTGCTGGTGAGCTCTGAGGCCAATTCAAAACAAAAACCCAAGTGTGTCTGAAAATCCCTTCCTACTCATGCAGTTATGGTTGTGATGCTCTAAGGACATATGGCAGCAATACCTTTTCTGTAGCACAAATGACGTAGTTGGAAAGGAGCAGTCAAGACATTGGGAGCACAAGCTGCTCTTCAGAATTCAAGGCAACTCAAGTGCTGCTGGCATGAATAAGCCAGAAAGTATGCAGTGTATAAAGAGGTTAAGTGCTTTTTCCCAGCTGCAAAGCTCTGGACATGCTTTGATCTAGTTTTCTTACAGAAAAGTTTAATGGGTTGAGAGCAACTCTCCTAATGTCAGTAGGCCTTAAGCAGAAACTTAAGTAATGACCAGAATAGGCCTGATAGTATCATGAATCAAAGCCTTCATGAAGGTGTGCAGCAGAAAAGAGACTGGCTCTTCATAAAACCTCAAACTGAGCTGCAGGAAGAACAGGGAAGACAAATCTTCAGTGCTGTGGAGCAAGAAGCAGCACTTTTTCAAACACATGCTCAGAACAGCGTTCTCTGGACTGACACAGAGAACTGTTCCCTTACAGGCACGTAAAACGCGCAAAAGACGGCACTTTGTACTAAGCAGTTCCTGACAATTATATTATCTTGCTAATAATCCACTTTTTTAAATAGAGAAAAAGATATTTCTACTTTATAAAAGACCCAAACCAAAATGAATTACACATAATGACCTGCAAAGTACTCAAGAATACTTCAGAGGGAAGCTTTGCAGTGTGAATTATCAGCAGTTTTGCCCCTTTATCTTCTCTACAGGATGTAATTTGGAACATGCTGTCAATTATTTTTTTTCCATACTTGGAGATGTTTGATTTATTACTCCTTTCAGTGCTCTCTGAAAATGATACAGATTTTTCTTCCTCTGCAAGTTGCCCCTTATATTGACATTGGATCACTTCCAGAGAGTCTGAAGACTTCTGGAAAGTTGGAAGCCTTAAAACAGGATGACTATGAATATGTGAAGAATGACCTGTGGATTAATAAGCACTTCTGTGACTACATGTCTGAAGTCTTAGTTGCACTTAACACTACTTTGCTTCAACTACTAGTAGACTGCAAAGTCCCAAAGCTATTACTTATTTTATTTTAGAAACTAAACCTGTGAAATGAGGCAATTTGTCACATGAAACCAGTACCTTTAATGACGATTTTTAAATACCTAAAGGTCCCTTTGTATAGTTACCTGAGCAGTCATAGACTAGGATCAGAGAGAGAGGTTAGGTTCCAAACGCAAAAGGTGGAAGCAAAGGATTTTTAAAACTGGTTTTTCCAAGTAGCATGACAGTGATATTTGAAAACAAACATGTTTTAGTGCATGTAAACAACAGCTGACAGGAGTACTCCTTTAGTTAAATATACATTACAACAAATGGAATAGAGAACAAAAAAACTGCCTAAAAAGAATACATAAAAAGACTGGTGCTTACCCTTCTGGCATGGATTTCTGTCTGTATGTGCCTCCAGTAGAGCCAGTCTCACTTGAGGATGATAAGTTGCTTGGAGAATTACGGCACTGTTGCGATCGTGCTAAGGCAATGGATGAAACGGTGACGTAGACATCAGAACCAGGAGACAACCTGTTCAGAGCAAATGAACCGGTCAAATCAGCAAACCTGAACAGCAATTTCATACTGCAAAGAATGATGGACAACACCATGCAAACTGTCACCTTAGCAAAGAACATGGCACCATGGAGACAGTAGAAATTACATCAGTTGAAGGATCAGATATTTTCCCCTTATTAATTAACAAAACTGATGAAAAATCAACTGTAAAAACCTGGATGCAGGGGAGTAAATGAAGAAAAGCAAATGTTGGAAGAAATTCCTGGCACACACTAGGAAAACATCCCAGTTTCTAAAGTCATGATCTGTTATTACAGATTAAGTGTAAGAAATAATGTAACATGACATTCCTCATCAAAATACCAAACAGAACAAAGTATTTCTAAGTCTAACAGCAAACTCTTGCCTGAAATTTAAGCTCACTGTAGTGAGCTGTCTATGCAAACTCTTCCAAGAGCATCAAGCTTATCTCTAAGCCACCAAACTTGTCCACACTAGAACACAGAGCTAAAAACTGCAATGCTATCTATATATAAAACCTTAAAATCCCCCCCCAAAATATAATGTTCTAACAGAAAACTATCTCAACATACCAGAACTCTGAATAACACCTTAAAATCCCCCCAAAATATAATGTTCTAACATAAAACTATCTCAACATACCAGAACTCTGTTTGAAAATGCAGACCTGAGTCATATGAAGCCTTTACCTGTCAGAATAACCATACAGCAAATAGTCCAGAACTGCAACACATGCACCTGGGCAGAATGGCTGGAAGCAGCAGGCTTATACAGCTCAACTCACATATCCTGGTCTGTAGTTGAAGGCCTTTTTAGGTAATTTTCAGTTTTGTGCATTTTGTTTCCCAAACTCCAACTGAATTAACTGCTGTTAGCTAGTTCTTTGTTCTACTAGGTGGTCACTGAAGCCACTCAGAACTTTTGCAGTAATTTAAGTGGAGTTTGAGTTATGCCATGGGCAAACATTAAACTCTTACTGTGAATGCAAACCTTTCCTTGTTTTATCTAAGAAAAAATACTGTAATTTAACTTCTAACATTTAAAAAATGGATACTGACTTCAGTGAAACACACAGATAGTTGTCTCAGTACACAACTGATACACAACAATCCCTCAGGTCTGGGGATTTACATCTTAGCCTAGCTGTTTAATCTGTATCTGTAGAGGAGTGGCACATTTTAAATCAGCTCTTACTCCAACACTGTAAGAACTTACAAAGTTCTTGAATGAAAAAAGCCATGACTGCACTGATTAATGTTACTTATGTATGCGCATATATCCAAAGAATATATACGTGTGTGTGTATATATATATATATATATATATACACACACACATATCAAATATGCATTTGTTCTCCTCAGTACTTTGCAAAAAAGCAGTTAACTAACAAAGTCTTAAAATGGAAAGAGCAGTAGGATGGGACCAAACACCTTGATCATCTGAAATTTCATAAAGTAATTATGACTAACTGAAACTCTTTTTCTGAGACAAGAAAGCAATGATCATGGCCTGATGATGACAAGTACCATACCAAATCCAGTAATTCCTTTCTAGTCTACCAAACTGAATTTAACTTATCCCACACCTTTATCAATCAACAATTCTGAAATATTTCATTGCTAAGACATGGTTCAGGAGTCGGAAATTTGGGGAGCCAAAAGCCAAGCCATTTGTTTTCCCTGAGGCACTCACATAAAGAGAAAAAATAATAGTACGCTCAACAGAAATATGCACTTTCAGTAGCATTTATTCACCTATATAGGCACACAGTTATTTAAATTCAGTTACGCTTGCAGAGCAATACAGAGTTTAAAAGTATGACCTTTTTTTTCCAATAATAAATTAGAACTGATGGCAAGGAAACCGATTACTTTTCAAATAGTTTCTGTAAAATGATTTCCTGTTGGAAAATGCTTACATTTTCACTTCAGATTCAGCTATGTCTTTTCTTTACTTCCTATGCCTTACCAAAAAGTGACAGCACTGTTCAGAAGGGATGTCAAGATTTCAGAACTATGTCATGGAGTTATAACTCATTTACAAAGATGAAAGACCTTGAGGGCAAACAAAATTGTATTATAAATGTGGTCTGAACAACAGCAATGAAAAACCAGTCAGGTAGGAAATTCTATTCTTTAAAGCAGAAATACATTTTTGTTGGTACATTTCACAGTTGCACTGAAAATCAGTAATAGTATAAGATGTTTCATTTTGCATGGAAGGTATAAGACAAAAGAACTTTAGAGTAAATTAGTTCAAATTGACTTTTTGAGCCACTTTGAAATCTATTGATGAAAGGCACTTCCCAAGACAAAAGGTGTATTGTCTTAGCCCCTATAGCTAAGATATTCTGAGCTCGTCTTTTATTTATAATTAAAAACCATACTAAAGTAAGCTATTATCTATTTCAAAAGATAGCTTTAAGAAGAAATTCCAGAATGGTTAAGTGCATGAGTCCCACAATTGAATTTAAAACCAGGCCAAGCATCCATTGCATTAAACAGATACAATTACATTGCAGTCAATTGAACTGGAATTATACCATGCATGACTTAGTTCTAACAGATCTAGTTCACCCTGAAAGAACTGGTTGAGTCTTGCCAAGTATGGGAAGAACATCATCTTTTGTAAAGGCAATGAGTGGGATGGGCATACATTTATTTGTTTAGTATGACACCAGAGACACTGAAAGCATCCATCTTGCTCTTAATAAATTAACTTCCATGTCATTAGCTGCAATTTTTCCCACGTCTTCAGTATGCATAAGTATGTAATACACACATCATAAGGAAAATGTCAGTCTAGCATGCTTTCTGTCTATGGCCTAAGGCAGCCTAGTTACATGATCATGCACGGGTGCCTTCTCCCTTAAAACTGCATGGAGCACAGGTCCTATTTTGAGCTACAGCTTTTCTTGCAAGAGCTGTGCAGCTCAGGAGCAAAGGAGGCACAGGCTGGCAGAGGAGAAAAAAGGCCTTATAGTCAAGGCACTTCAGTGCTGACTTAGCAAGCTGAAATCTTATTTTGCACTTGCTAGAGCACTCCAATATGACCACTGGCATATTTGTTATGGACAATTTTTCATTCATTGTCACTAATTGCAAACTTCTCAAAGGCCTTATCTGATTCCAAGGCCCAACGTACTTCTGAGATGAAAACTTACTAAAGCAGCTGAAGTCAACCAAGGCTGTAATTTGAATATATAAAATATTAACAATGCTGGGCACACTTCCAGATATGAAATGCCCAAAATAAGACACAGCAAATGATTAGTACATAATTTCTCTACCTTTGTTCTTAATCTGAAGAGGGCCAAAGACATCTCTTCTCACACAAGAGTTTTGAAAATTAAGTTTAATTAATACCCATGAAGCATTCAGAAACTATAGTAATGGGCACCACTGGAAAGCTTAGAGGGGAATTAGTAATTGCATCTTTACAACAGAATTTGAATGTCATCCAGTAAATAAGGGATGGAGTAATGAAGAGGAAAATAAAATATTAAATAGCTCTTCTTTAATGAGCTGCATCCACTGTGTGAACTGAATGAGGCAGATGTCCTCTGTTAAAAGAAATTCTTGTAATTTAATCAAAGGAAGCATCTGAAAATACAGTTACACAAGAGTTCTGAATAAAACAGCACAGCAAATCTTAGCTCTGGCATGCTTACCTGCCATGTGTTTGATTTTTGCAATCCTAATAATATTGCAAGCTGCGACAGTTCTCTGCAAACACTGACTCAATGCTCTCATGTTTAAAGGATACCAAACCATTCACAAAGGAAAAAATTATACCAGCAATTATGAGGAAGGGTATAGTGAATGAAGCAGAAAATGCAATTCTGCTGTCATGTTGTACCTTCTCACACCACACTGTATAGCTTCTCGAATATTCTTCTTGAGTTTGATCATCACATTTCAGAAAATACATATTGCAACAAGAAGAGATATAGAGGCAGGCAAAGGGACAACCAGAGGTACAGAACAGCTTGCATGTGAAGACACGCTGAGCAGGCTATATGGCACCACAGATTATTATCTGCTTCAATCCATCCAAATGTGAATTATACTGGATCAAGCAAACAATGATTATTCATTATCCCTCATGACAAAAGAACAAGTAGGAGACCTGGAACTATCAAGAGACCAATTAGCAGGCACCTGGAGGAAGAGATACCATCCACAGCTATTAAACACAGCAGTACAGGTGCACCCAGCTTCAGGCAATCTTAAACAGCAGACAGCCAGGGGACTGTCAGACCTGGCAAAGACTCTTCCTTTACACTTCTAAGCATTTCTTATGCTTTTTCCTGGTCCATGCTGATGGCCATTGTCAAATAGGATATATAACTCTTGCCATGACACAGCACAGCTCTTCTCAGATGTTTTTGGTACACAAGAGTTAGGTCATACAGCCACATGTACCAACAAACCTTTGATTTTCCACTGGTACATCCAGCTCTAGGTCCCAGAGCTTGCAGAAAATGCGTAATATATAATCTCATGTTAGTACATGTTTTCATTTGTAGAATATTATGGGAACATTAAAATAACAAATCCTGAAACCCTGTGAGGAAGGCAATGCGTGTGCTGTAATGCTCACTTGACAGCTGGCAAGATGAGCACAGACACCTGCTTGTTTGTATTAGGAAAAACATCACTGATCCAAGCTAAGCAGCAGCAGATTAGTGTTTTTACATAATATGGGAACCGTTTAAACTAGCATCCATCTGCAGGAATTAACCTATAAACTACTACTGCCACAGTTACTGTCACTGACTACACAGGCACCGTTCAAATAAGTATGAAGTCTTAGGGCAAGACTGTGCTTCAAAGTCCTCAATGAGACATAAGCCCAGTCTTAACGATATTGGTCTAACACTTCCATACTGTGGAATTTTATAGCCAGTGTGTGACTACAGTCATGCCACAATTCAGTTTTCCATTTGCTTTAAAACAGTGACAGTGCTCAGAAATTTTCTAGTTAGA